GACCCTTTTATCTCAGTACCATTTCTGACACTAATAGCAGCATATTCAGTCTTTGTCAAACTGTAGTCCACAGACTCATGATTGTCCATAGAGACATTCCAGGGTTTTCCAAAGTCATGGAATGTGACCCACAAAGTACTGGCAGAATTTACTACCAAATGGGCAACACAGTGGGTTTGTTATCTCATTTAAAAGAAGAACGCAAAAGGAGAGTAGGCAAACACGTCTCACTGATATCTAAAACTTGTTTTCATAAAAATAGTTTTAAAAAGAAATTGCAAGTAAAATGTGTTTTGACTATCATATAGCATTATAATTTAGATGGGGAAATTCAGATCACTAATCAATTTGAGAAAATGTCCTTAAACCAGAAATATTTGAGAACCATTAGCAGCAACATAACATTCCTAGAGATTTACTGAATCAAAAGGAAATCATGCAGGTTGAGCTATTGAGCTATTAGGAGTGCTGGCCAAAAACTTGAACAAAGTTAGATTTTAAGGAAGCTCTCCAAAGAAGGGAAGAAAGGTCAATAGTCATAAGGGTTAAGAACACCAGTGTAGCACACACCCATAAGTGACTGAAGGCACAAAAGGGAACATTAGTGGTGTTGAGTTTTGGGGAATGGACAGATGCAAATGAGACAAGAAGCAGAGAAAAGAAGACTTTGTAAAGTCAAAACAAGAAATACTGACCATATTCCCAGTCTAGTGCCCGCCAGCATAAAAAACTAGCCATTGAAATACATATTGTACATGAGAATGAGATCACAGGGTGAAAACTGTCGCCAGTATTTTGCTTTGGATTTTTATATTTACAGTCGGTAGGTCTATTCTTATTTTGTTTTGATGGAAATATGTGCAATATCCTTACAATGTCCCTCTTTCATGGAGATATTATCTTAAATGAAAACAGGAAATATTCATTTCATCAATTTAATTCTCTTTTTGGAGGTAAAGTTTCTCTGATTTTTATCATTTTAATTACAATAATATAAGGCACAGGCAGAATGTGTGATAATAGTGGGATACTCACATTGTTAAGCAGCTCAGCCAACTTTACTTGGAGAACATATAAATTATGCCAAGTAGTTTCCTGATGGTCTAGCAGGTTGTGCAGGAACCAGCAAGAGAGAAAAATCATTTTGCCCTCGTCCTCACCAATCTAACCATGAGTAATACATCCATCTATAATAGTGTCAGTAGAAATAACCACCAGTCATTGTGAAGACGCAACTGTGTCTTCAGTCACATAAAGGATAACTTCCATCTTGTTGAGTGGCATCAACACTATGCCAAATGGGCACAACCTCAAACAGATCTAGCAACTCAAACTGGGAATGAAAGAGGCTCTAAGAGCTATCAGCAGTAGCAGAATTATATCGCAATCTATAATCTGATGGCACAGCTGTACTCCCCAGTGTACCAACCTTTCTAATACCTCCTTATTATTAATTCTGAGTCCATCCAACTCTTAACTGCCTCTTTCACCATGATTTTTGCAGCAGCTTCTTCCACAGTCAAGAGAGGCAAACAATTCATTTAGTACTTCAGCAACATCATCTGCCTTGAAATTTCTATAACCTCCTTCTATACTTTAAACCAGTTTTGTGATCATGATTACCAAGGTATTTACCCACAGAAATATACACCATTTCCCGACTTCATTCCCCACAACTAGAGTCAAAGCAGCCTCATCTTTTTTCGGTTCTGAAGTGCTATTTTTGACTTGAAATGCTAATTCTGTTTCTTTCTCCACACATGCTGCCAGACTAACCATGTTTCTCTCTTACTTTCCTTTATTTAATTTCCTATCTCCAGGCACTGCAGTATTTTACTTAGATTTTAACTGGCTCATTTCTGTTGAACTGGAGACATATTGGTAAAGAAAGTTCACCCATTTAAATTTTAGCAATTCTTCCTCCTCTTTACCCTTAACCTGTTCTTTCCCCAGTCCATATTAGTGTAATTGAAAGCCTCTACTTTAATACTGTATTGGTTTTACATTTCTCTGAACATTCCCTACAAATTTGCTTCTGTATCACCTCCTGATTTCTTGGGCACCTAAAGAAAACACCTGACAATAGTTCCTTGCCCTTCCTTAACTCTATCCAAATAGATTCAGACCTTGAACCCTGTTATATAGTCCCGTTGTAGAACTGGAACACTATTGTACCATTTTCCCTTCCTATTACTCCAGAATATGGCCTTTACGCTTGATCTTGAATCTGATTGCTGATATCTTTAAAATTGGTCTATTATAGTCATTTATAATCCCCTGTAGTAACTTGCACCTGTCACTAATCAACCTTGTTTGTATTGGCCTAGGTTCAAAATGGGGAAGCAATGGACTAGTGGCATTGCAGCAAGGCTATTAATCCAGAGACGCAGATAATCTTCTGAGGACCTGGGTTTGAAACTCACCTATAGCAAATGAAGGAACTTGAATCCAATTAAAAAGGAACCTGGAAACTAATAATGAAGTGAAGCTATTGTCGACTGTCAGGAAAAAGACATCTGGTTGGCCTGGGTTCGAGTCCCACCTGCTCTGGGGGCATGTAATAACACCTCTGAACAAGTTGATTAGAAAATATCTTGGCTGCTATTACGACATAATGCTTTGTTATGTTGCCATTTATCTCTGTTACCTATTGATAATTACATTCTCAACTTTACCTTTCATTTTTGATCCTCAGTAAAATTACACTGTGGGCTCAATTGGGTTTTTTTTTACATTTCAGGTTCGTCAACTTCTTGGAAGACTTCTTGTTGCAAGACCTAGTGAGATCTCTCACCATATCTGACCAAATTCAGTTATTAATTATCTACCTGCACTTATGACACCTCCCCCCTCATCCAATTCTAATCCCATTTTATCATTCACCGTTCCTGGAAGAACTCTCAACTCACTAGATATCTTTGGAAAGACCAGCATCTTTGGTGCATACACCACATTTAAAAGACTGCTGTACACTCAGACAAGCACTGGCATCCCAAAATTGACCTGCTCAGTGACTGACTGAACAAAAGATGTCAAAGATGGGGTAAACAATGCCTCAATTCTCCAACAGGGATATGGAGGTTCTGATGAACAGGGTGGAGCAAAGGACGGCATCCTTTTCGTTATTCCCTCTGCAACCTCAAACTCTATTGCACCCACCTCCCAACAAAGGCCTATGCTCTATTACCCTCTAAATTATTCCACACCCCCACCACAAGCTCTCAGACCACTCATCCTGCATTGCCCCTGTGTTACCTACTGACGCGCTCAGGACACTTCACCACCTTTCCACCTCATACGCCAGTACTAACGGCTGTGTTATGCCAACCACTTTCATAACATTCAATCTCTCCCTTTCTCTCATTCCAGGAGAAAGTAGCTGACTAAAGGGTAAAAAAGGCATAGATCGGTATACGATCACCCAACATCAGGCTCCTGACCCACCATGACAAGGGAAATCTATCCCTTGCTGGAGAAGGTGTAAGTGTTCCTGCAAAGATACCAAGACATTCATACTTGCCAAACAAGGGCTATTCTTCACTCTACTACAACTCTCACATTAACCCCATTGCCAGTGTCAATCGTTGCACATAACAACTAACTATTGGCAACTATTTTTCACTTTTTGTTGTTGCAGATCTCAGTCTACAACTCCAGTTGAGAAGTGGCCTACTCTGCCAGATGCCACCTCCTTGACCTCTCAGGAAAAGATTTCCAATGCCACAAAGGAAGCATCAGCAAGGCTGCCTCCTCCACTGCCACCAGCTCAGATACCAACACCTCAGTAGGAATGTCAGCCTTAGAATGTTTGAGAGAACAAGCTAGCGAGCAGCTCACTGTGACAGCTCTGCAGCTGGCTGTGGAACAAGTGCCTCAGGTCATCAGCATTCAGAGGACGACTGGTGACCAGGCACCTGCTCAGCCCCAGGCCGGAGAGGACTCTGGGAGGAACAGGAGCAACAGGAGCAACAGAAGGAATGTGGAACTCATCGTCCAGAGGATGTAGGGTGCATCCACACCAATAGTGCTGCAGTCACCTCAAGCATGCAGCCATCTGGCTGCACCCATGGACAGGTTGGCAGCTGGCATGAAGTCTCAGGCTCAGCATTTCAGGGTCTGCTGGAGACATATGCGTACTTCAACTGTATCATCCCAGCCATTTGTTCTCAGGGTCAAAGGCATTGTGACAGGGGAATTATGGAATCTGGCACATATGCCAGGTGCCCCTTCCTCACAAGGAAGCAGCGTGGTGCCAAGAGACATTGCCAGGAAGTTAAGCTCTGGGTTCCCACCTTACTCTCTACCTTGCTTTCCTCCTTTAAGACACTCCTTAAACAGACTTTTTTGACCAAGGTTTTGGTCATCTGACTTAATATCTCCACATGATGTTATATTCTGTTTTTTTTACGTTCCAGTAAAGTGCCTTGAGATGTTTTATTATAAGGCAGGGTCTGTATAAAGACAGCACCTGGCTTCTCTCCACTGCTGTGCCCTGTTGCACCTCTCCCTTTACAAATAGATTTAAATCCCTCCTACTCCCAAGCACATTGGTACTCAATGTAAGATCAAGCTACATTTACATCATAAAGTAAGATGCTACAAACAAAAAACCGGTTACACATGTAGCACCTGCCGTAGTGAGATGAAGTAAACTTGCCACGACGTCAATTCATAAAACTGAAGTCATGCAAAGAAATCCTGCAACTGCACATGACAACTGTTCAGAAAAGAATTTTAACTTATTTGGAGCACGGGCGGGGTGGGGTGGTGAACTAGCTGCATTGCCAGTCAGTGCAGAGCAGACACCGATGAGCAGTTAGTTCCATGGAAGAGTCAAACTGGACTCGAAACGTTAACTGTTTCTCTCTCCACAGACGCTGCCAGCCCTGCTGAGTGGGTCCGGCATTCTCTGCGTTTGTTTCAGATCTCCAGCTTCCGTGTTTTATTTGGCAGACACGGGTTTGGACGCCGGCATGTGATCGAGTGAATGAGTGATTTACCTGTCCGGTGATGCCAGTGATGATGGCTACTTTCCTCCTGCCGTCTTCTGATGGGGCCGGACTGTCACCTCCCGCCGCCGCTTGATGCTCATTCATCGCTGCCAGCTTGGAATCCCCGGGGCTTGTTGCTGAGTGTCACACGCTTCGTTTCACTTCACCTTCACCTCCACTTCCGCGTAGTGAAGGAAGCCGCCGCCCCGCCCCGGCCTCGGTTGGCAACCGTCTGAAAACTGCCGGTACCGCCCCTAGCAACAGGCCGCCCCCACTCCAGCCCCGTCTGCGCCTGCGCCGCTCTCCTCCAGCGACAGCGACCCCAGCAGCACGGGAGGTGCATGCACAGGTGGATGCGTGCGCCTCGGTGTTATTCGTTTTCGCCCACGCGATCCATTGCCGAGCAGGTGGCTTTGTCATCGCAGACAAAAACCGAAATTGCCGGAGAGATTCGGCAGGTCTGGCAGCATCTGTTGGAGAGAAAGCAGAGCTAACTAACGTCCAGCTTCTTCAGTCCGTCGATTCTTTCTGCTTTCTAATCAACTTGTTCAGAGATGTCAATTTTGGAGCAGGTGGGACTTGAACCCAGGCTTCTTGGTCGAGAGGAAGGAACACCACCATTGTGCTGCAACAGCCCTTAGAATAGTTTCTAAATATGACTTTTCAGAGATGTTGTTTACACACATCTGGAGCAAGCTCGGACTTAAAGTCAGGCCTCCTGGCCCAGACTTAGGAACTCTACCACTGCATCACAAGAGTTCTGAAGAAACGTTACTGGAACCAAAATGTTAACACTGTTTATTCTTCACAGATGCTGCCAGACCTGCTGAGTTCTCCAGCAATTTCTGTTTTTGTTTGTTACTCCGTCGCAAAAGGCCTTTGCCAGCACCTTGGGTTGACTGTCCACAGGACTTCTAGTGTCATGATCCCATTGTGCAGACTCAGTGGGCTGAATGGCCTGCTTCTGCTCCAAAGTCGTATAGTGTTATTACAGTTGGAGGCTTGACATCATGAGCAGTGTGGATGGATGTTAGAAAAAAGTTATTCCCATTGGTAGTAGGATCTAACATGTGAAGCTGCAGATTTCATGTAGTTGACAAAGGAGACACTTTTTCACGCAGTGAGTGGCAGCTGAGTTCTGAGGAAGGGTTACCGGACACGAAACGTTAACTCTGATTTTTTCTCCAAAGATGCTGCCAGACCTGCTGAGCTTTTCCAGCAACTTCTGTTTTTATCCCCGAAATGCAGTCTGGTCCAATGCACGAGCTGGATACCTGACTGAGTGTGTGAGGTGGTCTTGATGTTTTCAATTCCAATTGCTGGCACACCGTGCTGTGGAAGTCTGTGTTACCTAAGAGGCCTGCAAATGGATCAGAAGAGTGCTACAAATGGTCATGAGGAGTTGGCAAATGGATGCTAATATCTGTGGATGAGGGATGCATGAGGATAGTGCCATGGATTGTGCCCTGAGATGCTGTTTGTCATTTAGCAAAATGGTGGCTGATTGCAGCTAATGGCGAGCTGAAGTCACCAGGGACTTACTTAGTCTTCCATGTTGAGAATTCTTGACATCTAGTTGGCTTGGCATCTTAGTAAGATTTGACGCTGAATATTAACGAGGTGAACTGCGGCATCATTAAGGCAGTTAATGAGCATGTAGTTCCCTTATGGTAACTCATGGCTGATGGATGAGAAACCCGCCTCATTGGCAAATGCATGAAAGACGCAGCACGCTGCACCTGATGTCAAGGTAGGGCTTGACTGACTTCCCGTACGATTCGGCCACATTTCCCATCATAGTCCACATTGCTCAGACGTCTAGAAGATTTCACCCCAAGTGTAGAGCAGGAGCACAGCTGTGTAATTGCTCAGAGCTCCATGGTGGTCATTGCTACCTCAGAACTCATGATGCCAAAATTTCAGCTTATGACCCCAGTTGGTGTCCCGACCCTCACTTTAGCATGCCCTGAGCTCACACGTTACATTTTCCCACATTTGATGAAATTTCTCTGAGCTCAATTCATGACTGCTCACGACGTCAAAGTAGAATTATAGCATTGGAGAATTGAACAAGATGGTCTTCTAATGGGCAGCCTTGCCCTCGTATAGACTGATAGATATAATTGCAGGGGAAATTAAACTGTAGGAAGTACAGTCTTGTGGGAATTTGCTGGATAAAGTACGTAATATAAAATAAATAAATATTTCACAACTGTGCAATATTAGAAAATGCTTGAAACCACTTGGGAATACTGCCGCAACAGTGGTTTATTTCTGAGTAATTGACATTTATAAATACTTTGGCAATAAAATATACCAAGATAGACCTCTCCCTGTGTCTGTCTCCTTTTCCCCACTCTTTGCTTACTCTCCCATGCAATTTCTTTCAGTGTTTGCTTATGTTCTATCTAGCATGTCTGTTCCTATATTTCAGCAAACCATTAGTCAGCATTTCTCTCTGGTTTAAGTTGAACTGTGGCACAACTCCAATCTACACCAATATATTCATTTAAAAATTGACACATCTGGAAAATGGTTCACTTCAGTCATTTTTTTCTGAAATTTGATGTTTTATAATTTCAAAACTTTATCAATGCTTATCAAAATGTCATTTCACCCCACCAGACTCTGAATTATTATATGCATAATGCTACCACTTCATACTATTATTAAGACCATGCATTTCATAGAGGTAGATAAAAAATTGCAGTCTTGTGCCTATATGCCATGAATAAGTTCAACAGGCTGTCAGATGCTAGTATATTTATTAAAGCTACAATGAACCTGAATATATACAAAATGATGCCTAAGGTTACAAAGGATGTTTTGCTGTACAAGATGTTACTGTCAGGGAAATTCTTTATCGCCTAATCCATGGGTATGATTTCACTTGATTTATACCTCTTCAGGCTGCACTAACAATCATCTGTATTGCATAACACTTCACTCATTCTAATTCAACATTATTTGTCTCAAAGTTATTTACAAAATATTGCTGTATCACGGTCCATATGAATCAAAAGGAATCATGCCACCAAAGTAATGATATTGAATCATAGATTCATGGAGATGTACAACATGGAACTAAATCCTTTGGTCCAACTCGTCCGTGCCGACCAGATATCCTAAATTAATCCAGTCCCATTTGCCAGTTTTGGCCCTCGCCCCTCTAAACCCTTTCTGTTCATACACCCATTAGGATGCTTTTTAAATGGTGTAATTGTACCAGCCTCCACCACTTCCTTTGACAGCTCATTCCATACACGCACCAACATCTGTGTGAAAAAGTTGCCCTTTAATTCCTTTTTAAATTTTGCCGCTCTCACCTTAAACCTATGCCCTTTAGTTTTGGATTCCCTCAGGAAAAAGACATTGTCTGTTTACCCTATCCATGCCCTTCATGATTTTATAAACCTCCATAAGGTCATCCCTCAGCCTCTGACGCTCCAGGGAAAATGGTCCCAGCCTATTCAGCCTCTCCCTAAAACTTAGACCCTCCAAAACCTGGCAACATCCTTGTAAATCTTTTCTGCACCCTTTCAAGTTCCACAACATCCTTCCTATAGCACGCAGTATTCCAAAAGCGGCCTCTCCAATGTCCTGTACAGCCGCAACATGACCTGCCAACTCCTATAATCAATGCACTGATAAATAAAGGAAAGCATACCAAATGCCTTCTTCACTATCCTACCTACTTGCAAGTCCACTTTCAAAGAATGATGGACCTCCCTCCAAGGTCTCTTTGTTCAGTAACACTGCCCAGAACCTTACAGATTAAGTATATAAGTCCTGCTCTGATTTGCCTTTACAAAATGCAGCACCTCACATTTATCTAAATTAACTCCATCTACCACTTCTGGGCACATTGGTCCATCTAATCAAGATCCCATTGTCCTCTGAGGTAACTTTCTTTGCTATCAACTACCCCTCCAATTGTAGTGTCGTTTGCAAACTTACTAACCATACCTCCTATGTTCACATCCAAATCGTTTATGTAAATGATGAAAAGCAGTGGACCCAGCACTGATTCCTGTGGCACACCACTGGTCACAGGCCTCCAGTCTGAAAAGCAAGCCTCCACCACCACCTTCTGTCTTTCAATCCCTCCCCACAGCCTTTGATCTGTTGTCTCTTCTCATCCTTTCCCCCGATGGCCGGTGTCTGACGTCCGCAATCTATTTTCTTCATATGACCGAAAATCATCTCTGATCAACAAGGGTAGTTGCTGGCTCTGGCCTGTTGGCTTTCCTGTCTGGTAGTGGACCAACTTTGTCAATCTAATTGTTTGACTTGCAAGAAATGTAATAAAAACAATGGGAATTAGCTTCTGCCACTGAGACCGGCCAGAATGTTTAAGGCCCTGACATTTCCAGGCTCCCCTCAACACACAGTTGGGGATCCCCTATTGCCTCCCCACCTCCGGGACAATGGAATCTGGTATTGAAGTTTTTGATGATGCTACTACAGAATGTAAATGAGAAATAGAAATAGATCACAGCTAGATCTTTTGTGGGGGGAGGCAAGTGAAGAGGGTCCAAACTAATAGTGTGGAAATGGGAGGAAAAGCCACTGCAGGAAATTTTGTGGACGCATAGGCGTGGAACCAGGAAGGGAAGTCACAGTGAACTAGATAATTCTTGATGTCCATCTAGATTCAAGAATGCCTCCTTTACAGACTTTTAAAATGTTCATTCATGGATGCTAGATCAGCATTTATCACCCATGGCTAATTGCTCTTGAGAAAGTGGTGGTGGATCACCTGCAGTATCTGGAGATTAGATACGTCCACAATGCTGGTAGGGAGGGTGTTCAAAGATTTTGACCCAAGACATTTGATATGGTTGTAGTGAATGATAATGTTGGTCCAAGTGAGGATGATGTATGACTTGAAGAAGAACTTGAAGGTGTTTCCAGGAATTTGTTGCCCTTCTTTTGGATGGAGGTAATTTTGGTTTAGAAAGTGCTGTCGAAAGGGCTTTTCTGAATTCCTGCAGTGCTGTATACTGTAGATGGTACACACTGCTGCCATTGTGCATCAGTGGAGGAGGGAATTAATGTTTAAGGTGATAAATGGATCCCAGTCAAGTGTTTTGCTTTGTCCTGGATGATTGCGGAACTTCTTAATTCTTGTACGAGCTGCATTCATTCATACAAGTGGAGAGTATGCCATCACATTCCTGACTCGGTCTTGTAGGTGAACAGGCTCTGGGGAGTCAGGAT